TTATAACCTTTCAAAAAAATTGTTCAGATGAGACGAGAGCGTCACGGCCGGAAGTTCGATACCCTGTTTGATGGATGTTCGGAGTTAACTGTTATCACCGTTGGGTAACGCAAGGCTGCGTGTCATGATACTACGTGAAAGCCCCATACACCACGGTCTAATCCTACTTGAGTACGATTATCGGACACTCTGTAGTATACAAAGCAGATTGTTCACTTATGTCACTGCGTTTCGGGACATCATTCGGCCGAATTGCATGTGTTACACAACACCTGCATGATCGCTTCCATGCAGCACGGTAGATTGCAACTGTCCACAATTGCTCGGCGTCAGCACTTACGATAGTAATGAAGAAACCAAAATCACTCATCAAGAAAGAAGACCATTATTGTTCGTCGAAACCTCTATGATCCGTTCAGACGTGCAATGTTGACACGCTGCGCAGTACGCACCTGTGCAGGCTAGTGCGAAAGGTCGTCGGTCTTTCCGTAGCGCGCATCTCACGACAATCTTATGATGGAGCGGGATTAGCACTGTGTTAACGCATAGCATCGTCAGCGCAAGAAGTCTTCGGTAATAAGCGCTAACCAGGCGAGGCCACCGTCATCCTCGACGTTGCCCAGTTGTGTATCTAGACCGGACGACTTTTCGCCCTATCAAGGCAGCAGTCATGGCTGCTCCGAAACATGCGGGTGCGACTACACGGTACTACCGCTTACTCACGCATGATAAGATGTGGAGATATACTCAGCAGGTATAAAGACTGAGTATTCTTTGCACATCACAGTCAGCAATTGAACCAGAACATACAAGCTTCAACCTTTTAAAGTCTCTCACGATCTTCCTGCACTCCCAATACGTCCCACGTTCACTACGCTGAACACATCATCCAAGATGGCAGACTTCAAGCCGTACAGCGAGCAGCCCGAGCTCCACGCCAAAGCACCCTACCGTGCCGCTATGCTCACGCAACCGGCAAACCTCAAACAAGCACTCAAAGACGCCCAGGCAGATGCGAGCAAGACCCTCATGGGCATCGCGCAAGGTATCCCAAGCACCTTCGTGACCAAGTTGATTGCCTCCACCAAGCCGGATTTCATCTGGATGGATGTTGAGCACGGCATGTACAACCGGTTGACGTTGCACGAGTAAGTTCTCTTCGATCCAATTGCGACAAGACTTTGAGAACTTGAATGTGTATAAGAAACCAACGCTAACCTTCACGATAAAGTTGCATTCACGCCGCTCAGCATCATTCCGAGGGTAAATCAATGGTCATCTGCCGCGTACCCAAGCATGATGAGCTGAGTCTCACTACCGCCCTCGATGCAGGATGCGCCGGCATCGTCATCCCACATGTGGAGAGTGCGCAAGAAGTCCGCGACTTCATCAAGGAGATGTACTTTGGCGGTTTGTCCCCCGCATCTTGACCCTCGCCATCTATACTAACCCAGCACGTCTAGGTGGTAAAGGCCATCGTTCGTTCAGCCCGTGGACATTCACACCAGGTTTAACTCGGTCTCTCTACCCCAACGACCCTTACAACGTCCAAACCGCCAACAATCACGTCTGTCTCATACCCCAGATCGAATCTCTAAAGGGCCTTGAGGCCTGCGAGGAAATTGCCGCCGTTGAAGGCATCTCTGGTCTCATGTTTGGTCCTGGCGATTACATGATTGACGCTGGCATGGACATCCATTCATTCATGAACGGAAACCCCGATCCGAAATTCTTCGAAGCCATGGGCACATTCAATGCAGCGGCTGCCAAGTATGACCTGCCTATCTTTGGGTACGTATATCGCATGTTACTTCATGTTGGACCAGACGGCTGACGGATGCTTTAGTGGTGTGATGGGGCTGGATCAGATACCCATGGCTATCCAAACTGGTATGCGAGGTATCGCAGTGCAATTCGATGTCTGGGGTACTACACGGCTCTTTGCGAGTTCTTTGGAAGCGGGCTGGAAACATGCGAAGAGCTTTGAGGGAAATCCGAAGCCGAGTATGGCGAACGGACAGGCGAAACCAGCCGAGTAGGTAGAGGCTTATGACTGCTATCAGAAAAGAGGCATCTAATCTATTTTTTATGGCTCCCGCCCACCAGCACTACACTGTGATGCACAAGGCTGAAGACATCAGGCTGCTAAGCTCAACCCCGATGAGTAATTCTTCTAACATCTTATCCGAGAGAGCACCCTTATTTGTGAGACCTCGCTAGGCATTACTAGATCCGGTCTCTGGCTTTCTAAAGGCTGAGGTTCTATCGCTGTTATGAGACCGGAATCTCTAATTACAAGGCTATTCATAGATTACGGCTGAAGTGAACGACTGGAGTTGTGTGGGGGCTGGCTAGGGCAAATATAGCTGTCCTCTCGACTTGCTCTTTGCCAGTCTTCTCATCTCCTCGTCCGTTTTCATTGTTTTCATCGACGAGTTGACTTCAGACTCGTCAGTATCTTGTTTACTGTGCGCTTTTCGGTAAACCGTGCTCCAGACTCCTACGTTATACGGATATGTCCCTCCTTATCTCCTTGTCTCCCACGACGCTTCTTCCAGTAGGTGCGCCGTCTGCTACATCGCCTATCGGAACGCCTGTTGCGGAGCCCGTGTCGCCTGTCACGACGCAAAGGTTCAGCTCGACTCCAGGGGCCTTCCCGACCCCCGTTGCGTTTTCTTCCTCATCTTATGCTTCCTCTTCAACATCCGTTGCAACGACAATCCCAGCTACACTATTTTCAGTGACACCTTCCTCATCCGCACTTCCACCACCAAACACCATTGCGCCAGCCTCAACCTCTCCCAACACAGGCTTATCGAGCGGGGCAATCGCCGGCATCAGCATCGGAGCCATACTTGGGGTTCTTCTTATCGCAGTCGCCGCCTTCCTACTTGGAAGACGCAGCTCTACTCATCAGTCATCCGCGAGCGACATTGCTGTTACTGAACGCGATGTTCCGATAGGTGGATACAAGGCAGAATCGGAAGGACAGGAAACAGCAACAGTGGAGCGTGAACGACGAGGCATTGCGCGGTGGTGGAGCAAGAAGTTTAGCAAGAGTGCGAGAATGAGGACTTCGAACGAGACTGAACCACAAGAGTCGTCGGCGGAAGAGGCTAAAGGTGAAGGTCATGTGCGACAGGTACGGGTGCGAGATGAGGATTTGCCAGAATTCCGTGGGGTCTGAATGTCTTTTCTGAGAAGTTTGTTAACAGTATTGAATGAAGCACGTTTCCCAGTCGCTCCTCCATCGCTGTTGCCTCTGTGCATGACCATCGGAACACGCGAAGTGAGCAGTGATATATGGTAAGGATGGATCCGAGTTTACCGTAGTCCTGGGCGAGAATCCTGAACGCGATTGTTGTAGCGCACTCCAAAAGAGGATATAGATCTTCCTGCCAGGTAAGGCGTCCGATGTGACGAGGCTGAGCGTGCTCCGCATCTTGTGAGTCTGCCAATCAGCCTTACCGGTTGGCGGGGCGGTTCCTCGCGCGCATGCGCTTTTCCCGAAGTAGCTAGTTCAGTGCTACTCCAACGAGAGATGGATGCACATAGCCCTGTGTTGCCATCACTGTGCTGTGATATAAGTAGAACGAGTAGATCGTCTCGCATACATAGTTAGTGCTTACTGCATTTCCTTGACACAGGATCAATAAGTATACGTCAGAGCAGAATTGCATATCAAGGGATCATACCCATCCCATCTTCATGTCCTTCCCAACTTCAGTATCGATTTCAGATTGCGAAAGAGACTCATCCGGAAGCTTAGTCTGTATGTCTAATCCAAGTAGCGAGTTCGGTCAGTATGCCTGCCTCCCTCACACATTTGAGTCTCTAATATGACGCCAGATGCCAGCCGAAATGATATGAAAGACACCTTCGGTGAGTCCGACCTCCGAGTTTGCAGCCGTTTAATTTGACTGACATCAAATCAGACAAAGCCGTCGACGCGCAACAGAGGATGATCGGCATTGGTGTGGGTGTCGGAGTAGGACTATTTCTTCTCTTCGCCGGCCTGGGTTTTTGGGCTTTCCGACGACATAGCAAGAAACGCTCGCGACAGATCAACCAGCAGGCGCAAATACAATCGGCTCTGATGCAACCGAGGATGCAACAGACGGATCCGCCGCAGTCCTGGATGAGGCAGGGCCAGGAAGTGGACGGCATGGCATACAGGAGTGAGGTCGAGGCTCAGGACAAGCAGCCTCATTACCAGTCACAACACTACCAAGAGATGAACGCGAATCCGTATGGGAACCAGTTCCAGGGTGGTCCAATGGTCGAAGCGCAGGGAACGCGGGATCCTCAGGAAATGGCGCTGAACCAGAGGTCGCCGCAGGAGATGCCGGGGAACGGGGCCTTTGGACAGCGTTGAACTAATTAACGTTATAATTGTATCGATTACCCGACATTGACATGTGATGCGACAGATAACAACATGCTACATGGGTCGCAAAGTTCCAAGTTTTTGACGGTCAAGAGTTTGGATGAGTCCAGCCTGTCGCGTCTGCCAGCTTCGCGTCGCGGGAGCCGTGGTCCGTGCACGACCAGCCATCACCCAACCACCACATTTCCAGCCCTCGAGAAATTGCGCAGCACGACAGCAGCTATGGATCTAATAAACGGATACCTACATCGTGGTTCCCACACTGTCCTCTGCCAGCGCATACCCACACTGAAGCCGTGCTCAACACGTGTACACGACTATCAACGGCGCAGTCAATAAACCATCCCAATCCTTTCGATACCATGCTTCTCAACGCTCAGACTCTGGCACTGGCCGCTTTTTTCTCGACACTGGCTACCGGACGGCCTTTGGACCCGTCAAAGCCCCGCGAGATTGTCCCACGCAACAAGAGCTATTCGGTTGTCAATGTCGGCGGAGACGCCTCGACCCCGGTCGCAACAGCCACTTCGGTGATCAAGACGACGAAGACGGTCGAAGTCGTCGGTCCGGCACAGACTGTCACCCAAGAGGTCACTGCGACTGTCGTCCAGCCTCAACCGGCGCCCGCGTCGTCATCTAGCTGCAGCTCAAGCAGCGTCTTGAAGTCGTCGTCATCGTCAACACCTACACCGGCTTCGTCGATTCCCACGCCAACACCCACATCACCATCAACATCATCCGTCAAAAGTACATCAACTCCTAGCCCATCGGTACCTTCAGCAACATCAACTGCAACACCGACGATCTCGAGCTTGTCTTCCAGCAGCATCTCAACGCCAGTCGAGACGCCGAAGCCAATCTTCGTCACGGTCACGCTATCGCCAGACAATGGCCCCACGGAGTACTATGATGATGGCATGTGGCACACGCATTACCGCGTGAAGACGTTCGAAGCCGCTGCAGCTGTCACTCCGGCGCCATAGCTAGCTGCGTGATGTCTGCGGTCCAGGCTTCTTTGGTGTTTTTGCTTTGGCGGCAGACTGGCTCGACCCGCCTGTTCCTTTCTCCCTGTGTTTTACGATATACGAATAATGGCCGGAAGCCAGCCTAGTACGGCGAGGAGTTATATTATGAAGATTAGACACGTCTGTGAGACGAATACCGATGTACCAATAGATTAAATAATAGATGCATGCACAAGCCCAAGTTTTGACATGGCAGAGTGATGGTGGTGGATGCTGTGATGACGCAGGTCGAAGGGGAGCTTGCATCCCTGCGTGCTTGGCGAACGGTTACACCCAAGGCGGCGGTGCGTATCCACGACGAGCTCTCCACACCCCCGGACGATCCGCCTCTCTCGCTCACAATGGCGTCGCCGCCCCCCGTAGAAGACCAGGCCCGGCTGCTCGAAGATGCCCTGGCCGTGGTGCGCCAGCAGACGATGCTCATGCGGCGCTGCCTCGAGACGCCGGGCAAGCTGATGGATGCGCTCAAGTGCAGGTACGCGCACTCCCTACGTATAACATGTGTGTATGCTAATGACCCCCATGATAGCTCGACCCTCGTGTCGGAACTGCGCACCAGCAGCCTCGGCCCCAAGCAGTACTACGAGCTGTACATGGCCGTCTTCGATGCCCTGCGCCATCTCTCCGTCTACCTGCGCGAGAACCACCCCGTCAACCACCTCGCCGACCTCTACGAACTCGTCCAGTATGCCGGCAACATCATCCCGCGCCTGTACCTCATGGTCACCGTCGGCACCGTCTACATGGCCATTGAGGATGCCCCCGTCAAGGAGATCATGAAGGACATGATGGAGATGAGTCGCGGCGTCCAGCACCCCATCCGCGGCCTCTTCCTGCGCTACTATCTGGCCGGCCAGGCTCGCGACTGCCTCCCGTCGGGCGACAGCGAGGGGCCCGAGGGCAATCTCCAGGACTCCATCAGCTTCATCCTGACCAACTTTGTCGAGATGAACAAGCTGTGGGTGCGCCTGCAGCACCAGGGCCATTCCAGGGAGCGCGAGCAGCGGACCAAGGAGCGCCAGGAACTGCAGCTCCTCGTGGGCAGCAACTTGGTCAGGCTCAGCCAGCTGGTCGACCTGGACAACTACAAGAAGATCCTCAACCCGCTGCTGGAACAGATTGTGCAATGTCGCGATGTCTTGGCCCAGGAATACCTCCTCGAGGGTATGTATCGGATTGCCGACCTCAGGATATCACTAACACGCAGCAGTTGTCACCCAGGTCTTCCCGGACGAATTCCACCTACACACGCTCGACCAGTTCCTCTCCGCCGTCGCACGCCTAAATCCACACGTAAATGTCAAAGCCATCGTAGTCGGCCTCATGGATCGATTGTCGTCGTACGCGCAGAGAGAAGCCGAGTCAGAAAGCCCAGAGCAGCGCAAGAGGACGGAAGAGGAGTCAATAGCACAACTCATGGAGCAAATGCGGATAGCGAAGGAAAAAAAGGCCGCCGAACCCGAATCAGCGCCAGCGCAGCAGAACGGAGACGCAGAGGAACCCTCAGAGACGCAACCAAGCACGGAAGAAGACTCCGAAGAGGCATCGAAACCCGCAGAGACCTCCGCCGAGAACGACGAGACCCCAGCGACCGAGACAGATGGCGATATCGAGAAGAGACGCGGCATACCGAACAATGTCAAGCTGTTCGAGATCTTCCATGAGCAGGTGCAGACGCTGGTCAAGATGCAGCGGCTACCAATACAAGATACGATCGGACTATTGGTATCGCTAGCAAATCTTGCCTTGTACGTCCCAGCATACTTCCTAAACCAGGCACGATACTAATATTCACAGGAACATTTACCCCGAAAGGCTCGACTACATCGACCAAGTCCTGACGTTTGCGAATCAAAAGGTCGCCGAATACGCGAACAGCGCCGACCTGCACTCGCAAGCAACTCAAAGCCAGATCCTCAGCCTCCTCCTTTCGCCGATCAAGACCTACATCTCTCTCTTTACCGCGCTCGCATTACCCAACTTCATCCCTCTGCTACATTCACAACCATACCCGACTCGGAGAGCCGTGGCCGGCGAAGTCGCAAGAAGTCTGATGCGGAATCAGACCTACATCGCATCCGTGGAGAACCTCGAGAGTGTGCTGGAGATCTTGAAGGTTCTCATTCGGGAAGGCATCCAGCAGGCGCAGGGATACCCAGGAGGACCGATTCAAAGACGGGCACAGGAGACGGAAGAGACGATAGAAGAGCAGGGATGGCTCGCGCGGATAGTACACCTCATTCGCGGCAAGGACAACGATACCCAATTCAAGGTGAGTTCAATCAACGTGCAGACAATAGTATGTACTAACAACTCCCAAGCTCCTCCAAGCCGCACGCAAGTCCTTCGCCGAAGGCAACGAGCGCGTCAAGTACACATCCCCCGCCATCATCACAGCATCACTCAAGCTCGCTCGGCAATACAAGAAGCGCGAACACTTCGAAGACAACTGGCAATCACAATCATCCGCTCTCTACAAGTTCATGCACAGTACACTGTCGACACTCTACACCCGCGTTACTGGCTCCGCAGACCTCTCCCTCCGCCTCTTCATCGCCTGTGGTCAAGTCGCAGATCAGAACGGCTTCGAAGAGGTCGCATACGAGTTCTTCGCGCAGGCGTTTACGATATACGAGGAGGCCATCAGCGACTCAAGAGCGCAGTTCCAGGCTGTGTGTGTCATTGCGAGTGGCCTACACACAACGAGGAATTTCGGCAAGGAGAATTACGATACCCTGATCACGAAGTGCGCGTTACATGGAAGCAAGCTGCTCAAGAAGCCGGATCAGTGTCGCGCAGTGTACCTCGCAAGTCACCTGTGGTGGGCGACTGAGATCAGGGCATTAGGCGAGGAGGACCCGAAGAACGTGAGTGAACCCAACCCGACTTTCAAGAAACCAGTACTGACTAGTATAGCTGTACCGCGACGGCAAGCGAGTGCTTGAGTGCTTACAACGTGCTCTCCGTGTGGCCGACGCATGCATGGATGCCGCGGTCTCAGTCGAGCTCTTTGTCGAGATTTTGAACAGATACGTCTACTACTTCGACCAAGAAAACGATGCTGTAAGTTGCCATCTTGCAAACTCCGAAGCTTTTCTAACGATTACTAGGTCACGACGAAATACCTCAACGGTCTCATCGAGCTCATTCACTCCAACCTACAATCCAACGAAAACGCTTCTTCGCTCGAGAACCCAAGGAAACACTTCCAGCGCACCCTGGATTACATAGCGAGTCGAGAATATGAGGGTGTGGTAACAGCGGCAAAGTAATGTTAGTGGGAAAAGGAGATGCGGCGCCTCTTTTGAGTTGGAAGTCCTTGTACGACTAGATGGACATGGATATTGCACGCTCGTATACCAAGTACATAGTATGGGAAAATGGAGAATGCTAATGAAGCCGAACATGTTGTAGCATAGCACCCATGTGCCAAGCGTCTTCATGGCCACTTGCAAGCAACATGGTGATGACCACCATCATCACGACTATGCACAATATTCGCCAATGCGCTAGAGGGTATATAAACTATATCTGTGTCTGTCTACTCTAACTCTCTATCATTCTGCTTACTCGGCCTCTTTTCCAAAAAGCTCAAAAAAAGTATCGAGAGCACGTCATGGAGTTGCCCGGTGTTATCATTGCCTCAAAACCCCAGCGAAAGACCCCATGTCTTTGCCTGATCTTCCCAATGTTACTCTTTTTTTTTTATCAACAGCTACCCAAGGAGACGAACATTTGTCTTTGCTTTTTCTCTCAAAAAACTGCGACTACTATTCATGTTGGTCGCTATCGTGATTCTTACATGAGGTACTATTCTGAAACGATTTTGGAAAATTCGGATGTTGGTGGCTGTGGTCGCAATTGCTGTGTGCATCGATTGAAGCTGTGGTTCAAAAAACGAAAGCAACCATGGACATGGATTTGGAATCTCGGTGGACTGACATTACCCGAAAATAGTCTTACAATAATTCATGGGCTACTAGGAGGCTTAGCTGGAGTACAAAAGACGTCATCTCCGCTTTCATGGCTGGGAAGTCTTCTACACTTTGACATTTCATCTTCATCACCAAAAACTACTCGATGACGACGTGTGTGTTCCGCCGGTATTCCTCCAAAACACAGCAAACAGAACAATGTGAATTCCCTTCTCCGTGTGGACTTTAGCCTCTGCCTCTCAAATGGTATTCAAGTGGATCGATACTGTGCTTTCAGGCTTTCTCAAAACTCTCGACAACAAGCTACATGAGCCTTCCTGTGGCTCTTCATTATTTCAGTAGCTTATACACCCGTAGCTTCTACAAAATCACCTCGGTATTACCTGATTTGCAACAGAACCCAAAGGTGAAACTCTGATGTGAAGTTTGGAATGCAACTGTCACAGAGAATAGGAACAAAAAGTGATACATGTTGACATTATGATCAGATGGGAGAAAAGGCGATCGAGACCTGTATCGCCATGTATGAGAAGTGGAAAAAAACAAAGGACGTGTCGCTATAGTGCTGTGGAGCGCATCGAGGAATGGATCAATTCGGATCTGGCTTTCTGATTCTTGCTCACACCAATTCCAACCTTTCTTATTCTCAAAAAAAGGCAGCCATCAAAGACATGGGAACGTATTTAGTCTCTCTGTTCAAATCGAGCGTGGAAGCTTACGATGTCGTCCATCGATCTCATAATCGGGGCATGATGGAACCCAAACTGCTACATATATTCATTCAAAAGCTTATATGAAGCTGAAGTGCCCTTCTAAAGAGCTCACAACCTTAGGCCATGGTCATATCAGGCAGCGCTCCCTTGTAAAACTCGCTACGCCCTTCAAAGTCGAAATCCAACCCCACACATCCAAACTCCACCATCTTCTTGTCAAAGTTCTGGTACGTATACTCAATGAACATGTCGATACCTG